CCGTGAAAAAAATATTTTTTCCAGCGGATATCTTAGTTACAACATGATTGAGCTAGCAAAGCAGTTTTGTGTTGATATGTGTGGTATGTACTCAGTTTTGGGAAATCACGATGTCTAGAAAGCATCAGTGGCTGCAGCTGACAGGGACAGCTAACAGCAGCAGCAAAGCTAACATCAGGATGTCATCTGTTAAAAGCCTCCCGTTGTCGGATACGACATGAAACTACTCCAGATAGCTCAATCATGTTGTAACTAAGACATCCGCTGGATTTTTATTTTTTTCACGGGCCATTTAGTGAGTTATTACAGACACCGCTAAGGGCTATCAGGTAACGGCGTCTCTACGTCGCCCCGGTAAATGGTCGCGCAACGATTACGTCACATCCAGAGCCCGTAACTTTACAGGAACCTTCCTCGTACTCCGCTCTCTCAGTGGAGACACGGCGGTTGAGAGGGCCGAGCGAGAGGACGTTCCTGTAGTAGTTCCTGCCCCCCAAATAGTACCAGGAACTTCTTCAGTGGAAACAGGCCTAAAGTTTCCCTCTGGCCACTCAGCTGTTGCAGCGAAAAAAATCCCCTCTGGCCCAGAAAGCATTTTCCTCTTAGACCACCACATGTCTGAAAACTGTTGACAAGACATTTTGAACTGCAGATGGTTTAATATTTGTAAAACTTGCCTCAAGCCGTGAACAGCCCCTTAAAAATCCATGACCTCATCACAACGTTAAGTCTATGAGTCTAACGGGAACTTGCGGATGGGGTCGGCAGGGGAAACACTACTGCGCATATTCAGCGGGCTGCATACAACGGAAGTAAACCTGGAAGCTAGAGAACTTTTTGGGCCAGGCAAGCATTGGAACGACTAGGCATCATCTTGACGTCTGGTATCTAGTTAGTTACAAATCTATAGTTAGTTGCATCTGCTAGCTGCTAACTGCTAACAGCTAACATTAGCTAGCTCTTCTCCTGCTGATTTTACAACCGATTTGTTGTTCATAATGTAGCATTAGCAGTGAAAAATAGTGGGGTGTGTCCCCTGATGTGTTGACAGTAAATTTACTGCGTCCATTGTCCCGACAGTGTCCTGGGGAAGATCACTGTTTGTCCCAAACACATTTTCTATTGACATGGGACAATGGGACGCCGTTAGTCTCGAGTCCTGCTTTTTAGCCTGTGCCAAATGAATGTGATACAGCAGAAATACAGAAAAACAGACACTGCCATTGGTGAATCTGTCCGTTATCTGCGGAGCAATTTGAAGCTAAAAAACTCAACAGCAGTTCCTCCTTCATGCTTCCTTCTGTGCAGTGATACAGTTGGTGGGTGTGGTTCATTACAAAGAAAATAGCTCCTACGTGAAACTGCTCACAACAAGGTCTGTGGATTATCTTGAGTAAGCATGTCATGATTTCTGGAAAGAGACATCACAGGCCCAAACCAATATGATAATTTTATGACAGCCTCTGGGGTAATTTTCTGAGACTTGATCTTGCTCCTCCAAAGCGCAGAAAGTACAGTGAGAGAACACACAGTACTTAAATCAGAGTATCAGTCTGCTGACACGTTAACTGAACTATGCTGAATTCATTATTGCATCATTCGTCCAGTCAGTCATTCAAAACAGCTGATACTTTATTATATTTCTACTGCATGTGTATAACTCTGTTTCATTTTATATTTACTAAATGTCTTTGCCTTAGTCTGGAATACTTTAACAAATATACTGTGCAACACAAATATGTGCAAGCAAGTCCATCACTCTCACCTGCACACAAGGAAGCCCCACTCCTGACCTGCAATTCAGCTGCACTCTTTAGGTGAACTCATACACTGAAACTCTAATACCTTAGCTCGTGCAACATTCCAGTCAGGTTATTGTATCCTGGATAAATCCCAGATACATTAAAAGTAAACCATGTTAAGTGAAGGGCGGGCTGTCACATGAGGCTCTGTGGGGGATTGCAGATAATCCAAGAATATTGCTTAACAGTATTCACCAAAATATATGATAAAAAGCAGACTTGCTGTCTGGCATTGCTGCATCTGTCTGAACTTGTATTTCAGGGATTGTACCTGCAGTTTTGCAACCTAGTTGCCACAGCAAATGTTGGCAGTGTACGCAGTGTCTGCCAACCATGGATGCATTACATTGGTATGTTGAAACCTGTTGTAACAACGCTGTGGTGTGATGACGTTAAGGCACAAAAAAACACTCTGTTATGGTCAGAAAAAGACCATGTTTTGGCTTCAACTAACCATGTTCAACGGCACATAAGTCACTGCAAAAGTGGTAAGAGGTAGATAAGAGACACCCACTAATGGCACAAAAGCTGCTAAAAACACTGTTATGGGTTACTAAAAATCACCCATGTTCAACGGCACAAAAGTCACTGCAAAACAGTAATGGTGCGTTAAAAAACACCCAGGTTCAACGGCACAAAAGTCACTGCAAAATACTTATGGTACATTAAAAAACACCCATGTTCAACGGCACAAAAGTCACTGCAAAATACTTATGGTACGTCGAAAAACACCCAGGTTCAATAGCACAAAAGTCACTGCAAAACAGTAATGACACGTTAAAAAACACCCATGTTCAATGGCACAAAAGTCACTGCAAAACATTTATGGAACATTGAAAAACACCCATGTTCAATGGCACAAAAGCCGCTAAAAAAGGGTGACGGGTCACGAAAAAAACAAACACATTTGGTGGCAAAAAACACTGGAAAAGTGGCAACAGGTTGCTAAAAAATACCCACATTTGGCAGTACAAAAGCTGCTCAAAAAGTGGCAAAAGGTTACTAACAAACTACTATGTTCAATGGCACAAAAGTCGCTGGAAAAGTGGCAACAGTTTGCTAAAAAACACCCACGTCTAGCAGGACAAAAGCAACTTGAAAAGTGGTTATGGGGGCTGCTAAAAAAGGGCAATGGGTTGCTGAAAAACAGCTATGTTCAATGGCACAGTGACAAGTCGCTAGAAAAAAACATGTTTGGCGGCACAAAAGCTGCTGGAAACATGGCCACTGGTCGCTAAAAAACAACAGGTTTTGTTGTTTGTTGCTCTCAAATCTAACGTGCCCGTGGTTTGCAGAAACGTTCAATGTGAACCTTTCCTTCTTGCAACAGGGCGGCAGTTTCTCACCAACAAATGTTTTAGAGAAAACATCTTTCTTTAAAATGATAGTAATATTTTTGTTTTCTTGCAGAGAGTCAGTTGAGAAGATTGACACCATTCTGACATCTGTACGTTAAAAGAGTGATACTAATGTTCTCGTCCATCTCTTGACGAGAGAGCAAATTAGTCTATTGCACAAAATGTCTTACTTTTCCTTTAATGATATCCAGAAGGTTTAAGTCTGTCTAACTCTTAATTAAGCTGACTCATACATTTGCAGCGATCATGATGGGTCGTGACAGGTCAAATCCCTTTGAAGGCTGCAGAGGATCTTTTTCATGAGCTTTGGAACAAGTGCTGCTGCAGGATATTAAAACTCATGAGAAACATCTGCAGGCAGTTTTGAATCAGTAATTCATGTACCAGCACATATCCCCCTGTTCAATCAGAGGGATAACCCAGTTATCAGAATTGTGATTGGGCCATATGGTTTTCATGAGTGTTCCAGAGATTTACTGCTGAGGGCTTCATATGTCTTTGAAATTCTGCATACCTGCTGGTTATAATAGCAATGAACATCCTTAACAGTTATGCAGTATGAAATGTGTTTGCCTCCTGCTCAAGTTAGAGCAAGTAGCTTGTAGTTGGCAGCCTTTGTGCTCAGCCTCTGTTAGGATTTGTGTGTGTGTGTGTGTGTGTGTGTGTGTGCGTGTGTGCGATTGTGTATGTATTTAGTATTGTGTAGGCCTGTTGGTATGTCCCAGGCAGTGACTGTGTGAGCTGTGTGTGCCTTACACAACGAGGCGGAATGTGCTGATGCAGCTATGACAGTAGGAGTGATGAACCCAGCCCTAACCTGAGGCGACTGCCGGAGCTCACAGGAGAGATTTGTGCCTTCGCTTTCTGTCAAGCTGCCACACGGGAGTCAGTTTTGTCACAAACTCCAGCAGCTGGCAGGCCAGTGCCAGACAATTGCACCAAACACTTGCTAAAACAACAGCAACGTAATGCCAACCAAACAAGAGGAGTGTGTATCAAAGTACATGTGCAAGAGTTCTTGCAGTTAGAGACCAAGTGCAGGGCTGCAGAAAGCGATGACTCATCAGCCCGTATAAGGTTCAGTTTTTATGCTTTGATGCTTGTTGGTGTGTTCTTTTTCGGTAGAAGCAGTCTTCACTTTGTCTTTCTTTGAAATACATTCTCATAACAATAAAGATGTATGTCCTTGTTGCTCCAAATAATTCTGCAGTTTTACTTCCTGCTGTGCCTGCAATTACATTTTGTTGATTTTGGACGAAGCTGTTACTCCTTGTTTTCAGTCTTTATACTCAGTTAAGTTATCTGACTGCCGACAGACAGGTTAGTCTGCATGCATTTCTCTGTCTTTCTGCAAGACAGTGAACTGCTGTACGGCTGACACAAAATTCTAATGTCCTCGATGTCAAATCAGGTTTAGTTTTCTTAATATTTAAGTTCATTTCCCCCGTAACAGCTGTTCTACCTACACTGCTGAGCTTAGAAACCACCCCACAAATTGCAAATGTAGTGACTTTTTTTTCCACCTGTGAGTTGCATGATAAAAATGGAACGCTGGTGAAACGATCTGAAATCATTTTCCTTTTGCAAATCATAAAAAATACTCCAAAATGATATCAAAATGAAGTTGAACAATGCATGTACAGTGTTAATGGATGGATTTTATTTAAAACAAATGTTAAAAGGAAAGCTGCTTTGAGGGTTGGTCCACTGCCACCATTTGTGCAGCCGTGTTGCAGACTGGGATGGGTTGGGGTGTGACTGGACACACCTCTCCTTCACAACGCGGATGTCTCTGCAGAATAAATAGCAGAGCTGAGCGCAGACAAACTGGTTGGAACCCTGGAAGAGCAGGAGTGCAGCAGTGTCAGCTTCCTCACACTCAGCAACTACCTTCTGTCCTCACCAGGTAATAAGATATTGTTATTGTTATTAGGTTATTGTTTTTGCAAAATGCTATTTTGCAAATTTTTTTTGCAAATTGCTCATTTTAACTTTCAAGGAATTTGTCTTAATTATTCATAGCAACAAGTCCTGGCAAGACACTTGTTTTAAAGGGATAGTTTGGATTGTTTGAAGTGGGGTTGTATCTGTCGTCAGTGTATCATATACAGTAGATGTCAGTTGACACACCTTCAGTGTGGAGAAGCAGGCTGCAGACGACACAGAACTAGTCAATGCACTGATGTGGACGGAGGCAGCAGCAAGACATATTTTAGCCAGTTAGTTAGTTTGTGTTGGTGTGAGACTTTGGTGAATCTGAACTAACTCTTTTAAACGCCAAAGTCACGTGATAACACAAACAAAATAAGTGTTTGAGTCAGCGGTAGAGCAGCAGCTCCTGTGTTCAGTGATGTTAAATCACCGTTTTTCTCAATGGAATCTGGCTTTGAAGAGAGCGATGTAATGGCTTCATTTTCCTTCATTGTTTCGCTTCCCTGTCCGAATCCAGCCTGCTTCTTCAAACTGGGGGCGTGCTGACTGACATCTTACTGTATGTAATATACAGGGAAAAAACCCATATAACCCCACTTCAAAAAATCTAAAATTTAATGTGAACTTTTTGCATGATTCTGCAAAATAGTTAATGCTTTCCACAGATGCATTTTTACATTTTTTTATATCTTACATGTGATATTAGCAGTGCGTCAGGTGCGTTTTATATATAGTCTCTGTCGAAAATCAGCCTCTGAACACTGGGCAATAATCACATACTGTAAGCTGAAGTCTAAGATACATGGTGTTTGTCTTTGGCTGTGGGGAGTGGCTTTTCCTGCCCAAAAAATACCACACCAACATTAACATTGCAGTTTGGCAGTAAGTGCAGAGGACACTCCCTTGGACAGTACATCAGGTGATTTTTCACCCCTGCATATGGTACACTGCTATTGTTTAATTAAATGGTCCCTGTATTACAGGTTAAGTAACAAATGCTGCAGGGTAAATGCAGGATGTTCCTTTTGCCATGGGATGAAGGGGACTTTAAATGGAACTGGAATAAAGCAACATAATATACCACTGATGAAACTGTGTTATTGTTTTGGAGAACTTTTGGATGCTTTGTGATGTGCACCTTTCGTTTTCCTGAGAACATCAAGGCCATCTCATGTCATGATTTTCTTCAGTTGAATCCAACTATGACAAGAACTGTTGCCTGGCTTCAAGAGTGCCATCGGCAGAAACCTGTATGAAACTAGGGCTGCAAAGATCTATCATTTGGTCTGTACAATATCAAAAAATACCAAAATTCAGTCATTTATTGAAACCTAAGGTCATCAAATTGCTTGTTTTGTCTGGACAAAAACAGAAAAGCGGCAGATCCTCACATTCAAGGAGCTGAAACTAGAGAATCTTTGACATTTATGATTGAAAAAGAACTTAAAAATTCCAGTTAATTCCAGTTAATTTTCTGTCAGTAGAGAAATTGATTTATCTTTGGAGCCCTGTGTGAAGCTGTTACAGCCTATCAACTCTTGTGTTTTGCCCGATATGTTACTTGTTATTGAAGGCGTGTCTCCCCTCAGGCCCTGAGCACTATGGCATCACACAAGGAGTTCGAGACTGCAGGGAAGAAGCCCGGCCTGCAGGTGTGGCGGATAGAGAAAATGAAATTGGCACCCATCCCTGTGGAACTCTATGGAAGCTTCTACAACGGAGATTCTTACATAGTGCTCCACACCACCACTGTTTTTTCCTACAACGTTCACACGTGGTTTGGTATTGGACTTAGATTCTCTGCTGACACCTGAAAACAAACTCTGGCTTTTCAATGAATTTGTCTTTCTAGATTCTCTTTTAATTTACAGTCATTTATTGCTGTTTTTCTTTTTGCTGTTATCTATTACACCAAAGGTAAGAACACTTCCCAGGATGAGAGAGGGGCTGCTGCCATCTTAATGATCCAGATGGATGACCAACTGAATGGATTACCAACACAGCACACTGAGTATCAAAATGAAGAGTCACTGATCTTTTTGAAATACTTCAAGTCCGGCGTCAGATACATGGTAGAACATGATATATGCACACATGTTGTTTTCATGTATATACTTTAAAACATATTTTAAGATTGATTTAAAAAAGTTGCAACCTCTACCTTCAAGAGAGATCAATTCATTGCTTTATCCCAGACATCAAAAGTAAAAGACGACAATGTAATGACTTGGGCTAAAGGGGTTGTTTGAATGTTGTATATTCATAAGGGAAGAAGAACTTGTCACAGTGCTATTTTGGGAAACGTTTGGAGCTGTGGTTGGTTGCTCCCTCAGGTTTTACACCGATGGTTTCCATGGGGAGTTTGAACTGGCAAACAAGGCGAGCAGAAACATGCTCTCTGGTACCAAAACACCAGAGTGCTGCTGCTGATGTTATGAGATGAAGTAGGCCAGTGGAAAATAATAGTAGGAGCTGAAATACTAATGTATCAATTAGCTAGAATTTAGACATTTTAAGAGTTTGACGTGGGGATGTCAAGGGTTATAGCTGATCAATAAATCGCTATAGCTAATACTTCTAATGCTTTTTTCTCCTTGACTTTATTCATTTTAAAGGAAGGTGGAGTAGCCTCAGGCTTCCAGCAAGTGGTGACCAATGAAGTAAACGTCAAACGTGTACTGCACGTTAAAGGTCGTCGGGCAATCAGAGCCAGTGAGGTGCCTCTTTCCTGGTCAAGCTTCAATAAAGGAGACTGCTTCATCATTGATTTGGGAAAGGTGACCTAGAACAGGGACTAGATACAAGGGCTGCACGATATATCATTTGAACATCGACATCGCGATGTGCGCATGTGCGATAGTCACATCGCAGGACATGCAATGTTTTCTCTTTTTATTAGAACATGTAAACATTTGTTTTGCTTCAGAAAAGCAGCTCTGAAGAAAGCTCTTTGCTCCGCTCTGCTTGCCTCTCTCTCTCTCTCTGTCTCTCCCTCTCTGACAACAGCAGCCCCTCCCCTCTCATGCGCACGCTGCAGTAACACACTGAAAATGAGCGACATGCAAGAGGGAGAAACGGTAAAGGAGGATTTATGTCTGGTTCACACCACACGACTTTTCTGCCACTTCTGAAAGTCACTATGTCACATTACACGATAGTGGGGTCCTAAAATCGTGCCGTGACTTGGCCGACAGACATGACACACTACACTATGGTACACACCAGTTATCCCCGGTCATCTTTCACGACATGTGTGATGTCATCGGGTTATTCTTGTCCTATTTTTATTACTTTTACTATTATTTGAGTAAAAGTAAAGCAGACCTTTCTCAAGAAAAGAAAGGTCTGCCTGCGCCGACTCTGACTTTAAGATTGGAGAAAAAAACGCCCCGGCTGCTTGTATTTCTTACAACCAGTCACAATCGTACAGGGCGGTGTCACAGCAATGGTGTGCTTGCAAAAATATTGGCAGGGGGAAACAGGTTTTGGTGTAACAGGCCCACAAAAATATCACCTACAGGACGCGAACCATGGCAGAAAAATGGCTACATCCCCGCAAGATCAAACACCACAAAAGTTAGTAAAGGACATGTTGAAAACGGTTGAAAACTGCTACACAATTGGAGGTGGTAGGGCGGGACTTCAGCGGGTGGCTCGTTCCGCCCAATGAGAGGCTGATCTATGCAGCGAACTTCCGCCCACTCAGACTAGTGCCAGCAGAAATGTTGTTGTAGTCACCTAAAAAGTGCCAGCACAATCCACAATAAGTTCCTACAAATGTTTCACAATAAAAGCCTATTTAGAAAATGGTGGGATTCTCTCAGCAGAGGTTATAAAGGGCTTTTAATTTGAAACACATTCAGGAAGTGTCAAGTTTGAAATGATGGCGCCTTGCATTAACTTTATCAAGACAATGGGAGTGGATAAAAAGTAAAAATATAAAGATACAGAGGGATTAATAAATAACGGTCCTTTTATAATGTAGTCTGTTTCAAATGAAGCTGGGAGCCTCTGCAATTGTGGTGAGTAAAAGCCCCGCCACTATTTTTTAATTTTCTTACTTTAACTCATCTGACAAAAATTCTTGTATTTTTTTAATGTCGCAATATATATTGCAAAAAACAAAACAAAATAAAAACAATCGCAATGTCAGTTTTTTTCCAGTATCGTGCAGCCCTACTAGATACCCCAAATATGTTAACAGTTCAAGCCTCTGGTGTTGTAATGTTTCACCGTAACTTTGTTTTCAACTTTTTCGCTGATCATCTCTGTGAAATGCTAGGTTATATACCACTGGTCTGGCAGTGAGAGCAATTTCTTTGAGCGCTTAAAAGCCACTGAGGTGGCCAAGGATATCCGTGACAACGAGAGACATGGGCGTGCCACCATTGAGATGACTGAAGAAGGCAGTGAGCCAGAAGCTGTCATTGAGGTGAGCTTTTTTCTAACTTTTAAACGCGAACAGTTTTATTCAGGACACCGCTGGCTTTGGCTGCTCCGAAGGATGTAAATGAAATGTTGCAATCTGTGTGCATGTCTTTATTTATAGGTGCTTGGACCCAAGCCTGATCTCCCATTGTGTGAGGATGAGAAAAAGGCAGGCATTTAATGAATTACTGTGGACAAATGTTACAGTATCTAAAGGATTCAGATGATAAATGTAAATGTGTTGATCATCTCTCCACTTTCTAGTGTGATGAAATTGCTGATAGAAAGAACAAAAAGACGGCAACTCTCTATTTGGTAAATATGTGCAAATATTAAGGTTTTAAATTAATTACTGTAGATAAATGTCTCAGTATCCAAAGGAGTGAGATGATAATGATAATGATGATAATCATCTCTCTACTTTCTAGATTTCTGATGCTGCTGGCTCCATGAAGACAACTGAGGTGGCTAAGGAAACCCCTTTCAAACAAGACATGCTCTCCCAAAATGAATGCTACATCTTGTACAATAAAGGAGGCAAAAACCTATTTGTCTGGAAAGGTATTACACCATGACATCTATCCATTTCTGCAACCTCTTCTTAGCTGCATACACCCTGTGTTTATCAGTGCTCAGCTGGCTTATTGCAACAAATTGTTAGTCAGCACAAATGGGAAAATGTGTAAATTTGACCAGAGTTTGTAGTCTCTAACCACTGTAGCACTCCCCAAACTGCAGGTAAGGATGCAAATGCAGATGAGCGCAAAGAAGCACTGAATAGGGCAAACAAATTCATCAAAGACAACAACTGCGACCCACATACTAAGGTAATGAGGCCATGTAGTGAAAGTCTGACACCAGAGCTTCATTCTTTCTAGCTTGTTTTTCTGTTTATGAATATGCTCACTCCTCTTTCTGACACAAACAGATCCAGATTATGGCAGCAGGGGCTGAGACCTCCATTTTTAAACAGTTTTTCTTCAACTGGTTGGACAAGGATGAGACCACTGGCCCAAGTGAGGCCTACAGGGAGAATAAAATCGCGAAGGTGGAGCAGATTCCCTTCGATGCCTCCAAACTCCACAGCAACAAATGCATGGCTGCCCAGCACCGTATGGTGGATGATGGCTCTGGGAAAACAGAGGTATGCTTCACTAGCCTGACAAAGCTCATGTTGTATTTTCATCTCCTCAGATATCAACATGTATGTGTGACAATTGTGGCTGTCTGTAGATTTGGCGTGTGGAAGGAGGTGACAAAAAACCTGTGGACAAATCCACGTATGGACAGTTCTTTGGAGGTGACTGTTACCTTGTGCTGTATACCTACAAAGATGGAGGCAGAGAGAAGTTTATCATCTACATCTGGTGAGTGCAACCTTCACAGCATGGACAGATTTACCTGTTAGGGGGCCCAGGGCGAAATATTGTCGCTGAGCCTCCGCTGAACCCCCTTTATTTGGGAATATGCACTATGTGCACAATATTAACTGAAACAATAATGGTCAACTTGATTATGAGACTCAGCCTCTCTGCAAGACAGGGTCACGAGATTAAATAATAATGCAGTGCAATGATTTTAGTTGATATTTTACCTTAGTAGTTTAAATTCCTTTTTCTGTTTTACACCATTCTCATTGAACTGCAGAAGCTTGTCATTGACTTGACAGTTATTTTATATAACATACGTATTAGAGTCGACCTCAAATCAATTTATTATCCAGGAGCTGGGACAGTTCATTGACAGTTGATTGAACCAGTGTACCTCTTCTTTGTGAATATAAACTCTGATTTAGCTTGAACGAGTTAAGAAAAAGACGGTACGGTGGTGTGGTTAGCACTGTCACCTCACAGCAAGAGGGTTCCTGGTTCGATCCTGGGTGTGGGAGCCCTTCTTTGTGGAGTTTGCATGTTCTCCCCATGTCAGTGTGGGTTTTCTCCAGGTACTCCAGCTTCCTCCCACAGTCCAAAGACATGCAGGTTAATTGGCTAAATTGTCCATAGGTGTGAATGTGAGTGTGAATGGTTGTCTGTCTCTATGTGTCAGCCCTGTGATAGTCTGGTGACCTGTCATGGGTGTGCCCTGCCTCTCATCCAATGTCAGCTGGGATAGGCTGAGGAAAGGAGGTTAGAAAATGGATGGATGGATGGAGTTAAGAATACATTTTGGCTTTGCTGTCTTCAGGCAAGGGCAGAAGTGCTCTAAGGATGAACTGGGTGCTTCAGCCATTCTCACCATCCAACTGGACGATTCCATGGGAGGAAAAGCTACCCAGGTAAGATATTTACTGTGAAAACAAGCTATGATGTCACTCAGGTTTTCTTGATAGGAGTAGTTGGAAATCGAAGTACGCTTACTTGGTGAGAGATGATGATAAGATCAATACAAGTCTCATATCTGTGCTTTAAAGTTAGATGTGGGGACAGCTACCAGTTAGCTTTGCATAAAGACTGGAAACAGAGGGAAACAGCTAATCTGGTGTTAATTAGTGAGCTTAGGGGGTACCGGCAGGTTGATCTTGTTATCTCTGGACAGCATTGTTGGATTACTGAACATGCCTATTGGGCACAGGCCCAGGGCCCCAAAGTGTAAAGGGCCCCCTTGGCCTTTACCTGTAAAATGTCAATCAAATTAACACGCACCGACCAGGAAGAGACACAAAAAGACCAAAAAAAGATGCAAAACAAGCACAGAGAGACACAAAATGACTCAAGAGAGACGACCAAAAAGAGACAGAAAATGACCTTAAAGAGATTTTTTTTTAAAAAATACCTAAAACATCCATAAAGTTACCTCTTACGAGTAGACACAAAATAACTACACATGGGGCAAAACAACAAAAAAGAGACACAAAATGATCTCAAAGAGACACAAAATAACTACAAAAAGGGGCAAAACAACATGCCTACCAGGCACAGGCACAGGTAACACGTACTAACCACAAAGAGACACAATAAGACCAGAAAGACATGCAAAACAACCACAAAGAGACACAGAATGACTACAGAGAGACACAAACAACTACAAAGAGACACATTACCCACAAATGGGACAAAACAACTATTAAGAGTCAAAAATAGCCAAAAAAAGAAACAAAAACACCCCAAAGAGACACAAAATAACTACACAAAGGGACAAAACAACCACAAAGAGATATGAAATGACTAAAGAAAACTCAAAATTACCTAAAACCCACAAATTTGTCTTCATAGAGACACAAAATAACCACAAAAAGCAGCAAAACAACCAAAAACAGTCACAAAACGACCCAAGAAAGAAACAAGAGGATCTCAAAGAGACACAAAGTGACTACAGAAAGACACAAAATGACCAAAAAAAGACACAAAACGACTACAAAGAGACAGAAAATGACCAAAGAAGATTCAAAATGATCTTAAAGAGACATAAAATAACTACACAGTGGGGCAAAACAACTAAAAAGAGATATGAAATGATTTCAGAAAACTCAAAATTACCTAAAATCCACAAATTGATCTTGTAGAGACACAAAATAAGTACAAAAAGTGGCAAAACAACCAAAAAGAGTCACAAAACGACCCAGGAAAGAGACATGAGGACCTCAAAGAGACACAAAAGACCAAAAAGAGACACAAAAGACCTCAAAGAAATACAAAATAAGTACAGAAAATGGCTTCAACAAAAAAGCTGTGGCTAAATCACCACAAAGTGTGTTTCCAGTCTCATGTGGGAGTGAGGGGGTGGGGCCTTTCTGTGCCCAGGGGCCCATTGTCTCATAATCCACCCATGTTGAACAGAGCCTGGCTGTTTCCCCAGTTTCCAGTTTATATGCTAAACAGAGCTAATCGGCTGCTGGCTGTAGCTTCACATTGAGCAGACAGACATGAGAGTGGTATTGATCTTCTCATCTAACTCTCAGCAAGAAAGCAAGTAAACATGTTTCCCAGAATATCAAAATACTCCTTTAATGGCTTACTCCTGCCATTTAAGCACAGGGTATCACCCCTGTCCTCATTATACATGTAGGCTGAGCTACTGCTTTGTCTTGGCAGGTTCGTGTCCCTCAGGGTCAAGAACCACCTCATCTTGTGAGTCTGTTTAAGGACAACCCTTTGATCGTTTACCTGGGTGGGACAGGCCGCCACGACCAAGAGAGCAAGCCCAACAGCACACGCCTCTTCCATATCCGCCAGAGCTCCAACAAAAGCACACGGGCTGTTGAGGTCAGCCTTGTTTATTACATTGGATGTGCATGAATGTGATGCTCTATAATGAATGATTCACACCATTGTCTCGATCTTTGTGTCTCACTCACCCAGGTGGAGCCCAAAGCCTCCTCTCTGAACACTAACGATGTGTTTGTGCTGAAGGAGGGTAATTCTGTGTACATATGGAAGGGAAAGGGAACAACTGAGGAAGAGATGACTGCAGCTAACTATGTTGTCAGCGTGCTTACAGAAGACAAAGCACAAGTGGTGGAGGAGACTAAAGAGCCAGGTGAGTGCTGAAAAAGGAGCTTTGATCTCTGCTGAATAGCAGTGTAAAACATTCCCAGTGAAAATCTATGGTTTTCTCCTCACTGCCAGCTGATTTCTGGAAAGCACTGGGTGGAAAGGGAGAATACCAGACCTCTAAGACTCTGCAGAAGACTGTAAAGCCTCCACGACTGTTTGGCTGTTCAAACAAGACTGGCAACCTGATCGTAAGTATTTATAGCCCTCTTCCTGCACAAAATCACCACCTACACCCGTTTTTTTTTTTTAATGTAACGATAAAGGTTGCAATCGGCATTCACACATAGGTCAGATGACTCTGCAGTAGTCTTGTGTATCTATCAGCTCCAGCTGCGATCAGCTTCGACGGAAACACAACACCCAGGTGAACCAGCCAACGACTTTCAGTGGTTGGTCAGTGTTCGCCAAACCCTGTTCTTTTTTCCTGAACCCAACCACATATGTGTGTTGGCTAAACGTAAGCACGTGTTTGTTGTTGAAGGGAAAAGAACGTTAATTTGCAGTGTTGTGCGTGCTTTTATTTTGAAAGAGACTATATGCAAACTGTACATTTCCTGTGAAAATGTGTATTTCGAAAAATGACAATGCATGTAACAGGCAGAACTTGACAAGGTGTCTTGGAACTTCAACAACATCGTACCTCAACGTGGAAAGTCCATGACCAAATGTCGACATGTGAAGTGGTCGGAGTGAGAACGTGTTGTTGCTGCAGAGCCGTGAACACAGCTGTGGTCTACCGTCAATGGGAAAGAAGTTTATTGCCTATTTCTAATGGGTTTTCCCTTTATTTAAAAAACCTGTGTACACATGCTAATTTTGGTGGAAAATGGTTATATGTTTTCATCCAAGTGACTGTTTTTTAAAGATCAACTTTGTAAACATGCAGTTTTCAATCTTTAGGCAGAAGAGGTGCCTGGTGATTTCACACAGCTTGATCTGGCACCGGATGATGTCATGATTCTTGACATCTGGGATGAGGTATGCTGCCTTCACTTCCACTTCTTGTAGATGCCATTTTTTATTGCTGCCTTATCCTTAAATTCTTTTGGTCATGTCTCCCACCAGATCTATATTTGGGTTGGAAAAGATGCCAATGAGACAGAGAAAGCAGGAGTAACCAAGATTGGTGAGACAAACAGAGCTGTTAGAGATAAGGGAAATTACGTACAAGACTTTGCTCACAATATATTTTTTTTTCCTTTCAGCCCAAGACTATCTGGATTCCGACCCTTCTGGCCGTTATCAAGTCCCCATCACTACCATTAAGCAGGGGCAAGAGCCAGTGACCTTCACCGGCTGGTTTCACGCCTGGGACCCCAAAATGTGGAGCAGATTTGAGGAAGATGACTATCTACAAAAAGTGCTGTAAAACACAAAGCAGCAGTATCTGCAGAGATGTATTTCTTAATGTGAACCATTGGACTTTAAAGAATAATCAACCTGTAAGATTTTGTGAGTTTGGAATTGCAAAGTTCTGTCTGGGTGGAGGGCAGCATGGAGATCACATCTCATGCTGCAGTTCTGATGTTCTTAGCATCTCAAAAGTTTTTTTTTTTTTTTTTTTTTTAAATATCTCAAAGTTTTAAAGCAATTTGAGTTGTGACAAAAATACAGTCTTGTGATTCCACACTCACAGTAGGCCTATCTAAAATATATTCGATCAAACTTTTGCTGGGAAAGCTTTCTTCGCAGCTTGTTTTCATTGTCTTATGCATTGAAATGATAAACTGTTTATGATCCAGCAAAAACCCACGATGCACTAGTTCTCCCAAGTTCAGTGTGGCCTTAAAGGGATAGTTAAGATTTGTTTGAAGTGGGGTTGTATAGGGTACTTATCCGTAGACAGTATATTACAAACACTAAATGTCAGTCGACACACCCCGCCAGTTTGGAGAAGCAGGCAGGAGTACAACATGGAGGCTAGGCAATTTACTGTTGTGAATTGTGTGAATTCACCAAAGTCACATAAAAACACAAACTAACTGACTGATTGCAGCAGTGGCAGACCAACATCACCCGTGGTCAGCGAGGTCAAATGAGCCTGGTGGCTTTGAGGAGAGCATCGATGGGGAATTGATGCCGTTAACAGCTTCCATGTTGGAACCGGCTGTCATCATCGTCTATTTTTTATCTTGTGTGCACAAGTTAATTATCTGCGAGATAATAGGCTAACTTGTGGACAGAAGATAAGTAACTTTCCCCACTAGTGAACAAGACAAAAAAAATCTCCTTTTGGTGTTTTAGGGGCTCCATAGATAGCAGTGTCAAAAATGTATTTCTGTTTTCGACAAAACGAATGTATAGCCTATTTTTATGGAACATTTCCCTTTCTACAGCCCAGTTTGCAAAGACAAACTTTGATTGAGAAATTTCAATAAAAATATGACCTTATCTGAACACTCTCTTCTGACTGCAATTCTTTATTCAAACAAGAACATGGGTCATTCTCAAAATACGGTGAAAAACATGTCCCTGCATTTTCAAGACACACAAATGCTTGAAAATTTTAAAAAAATCATCCACATTAAACCAAAATTATGTAATTCAATACCATTTTAAATGATGATGATAATTTCAGTTTATATATTTGCAGTTTTATTTTTTTATTTAAATTTTAATTTCCTTTGTAGCTAAAAAAACACTTGTCCCACTGCCATGATTCAACGGTATTGGACGGTGTAAAAATATTTCCTCTTTTTTGTTTAAAAAAATAATAATTGGTCAATTATGGACAAACACTGCTCTTAATATATGAATAAAATTAAAACTAAATTGGCTATTTAATAATAAAAATATTTTTTAAAAGAATATCTGTCCCTTGATTGGGTGTCATTGGTGTTACTGGTATCACAGACCCTTATTTTGAAAGGTCAAGAATATGTAAGAGGTCAGGTCAAGGTCAGAAAGAAGAAGAAGAAGAAGAGCCATTTAAGTCAATGCATGGTGAGTGTCTCTTTACTGAGTAAAAGTAAGATATTTTCAGTTAAAGTTTTGTTTTTCGACGTGGTTCTTTTTGTTGTGTCATTGGTGTTACTTTGATTTGTGCTAGAGTGAAATATTTTTATGGAAAAAAACAGGTTAATTAGTGTAATTTACAGATTTTAAAATGCTGACTCATGCCACATTTGAGCTAGCTTAGACACCATTTTGTGCAATTAGCCTGTTATAGATGTTTGTCATTGGTGTTACTGTCATTGGTGTTACCGCCCTTGCCTGTAACACCAATGACTATAGGCCTGTGTTTTATCATCATTTAGCATGTTTTATCTCAACTAAAACATATAAATATGCCCTCTCCTCCCTATTAAAGGGACAATGAATGTTCACCAAGTGATTTCCACCACACCTGGAACAGTCAAATACAGGGACATCAGTTGCTTTTGTCAGCTAGCAAAAGGAGTGTGGGACTGTCCCTGTTATGAGCTTCAAGAAGCTACCTTTATGATGGAGAACACAGTTGAAAAAAATAATGCCTCAGTGCCGTCCCGACCTGATGTCATTGGAAACCATCACAGTGGTCGGTGGTGTGTACTCAGTTATGATGAAGACCTCTTTCCTGGGGTAATTTTGGATGTTGAGGAGCACAACATTAAAGTAAAGTGCATGCACAGGAATGGAATTAACAAGTTTTACTGGCCTGGCCCAAGGGAAGATGTTAACTGGTATGATGACAGCCAGATTGTGTGTTTCATTCCTGAACCTCGCCCTGTCAACCGGAGATCTGTTGAGATCGATCCCATGACGTGGAGATATTTAGAAACTCGCATGTAAACATTACAAAAAGAAAACATCAAAAATCAACAACAAGCAAAGATGAATTTACAGCTCTTTCAGAGCTGCAGAGACCAGTGCCTTCTTTTTTGGCCCTCGTTTGTTTGCACTAATAACAGAGATAGATGAAATAGCTCTTGAAGTTTACGTTTTAATGTTATGCCTGTTTACTCCATGTTATGGAATTTTTAATGACTGTTTTAATGGAAGTCTTTAGCTGTTTTAAAGTCATTCAGGCCTATCCTTGCCTGTTTTCTGTTCTTTTTTTTACTGTTATCTTTACCTTCATCAGCTATGAATGAGAACAGTTAGATTTTATTCATACTGAGTTGAAATGCATGAAATTAATTGAAATTGAATTTGAAATTAAATTAATTGTTATACAGTGTTGTACAGTGCCATTTATTGGAATGTTAAATGTAACAATGAATAGAAATTATTTGTCATACAGTATAAAGTCATTGGTGTTACATTTGCGTCAGTGGTGTTACTACAAGGAAATTTGAAGATCATATAACATTAGACATCATTTAAGATATTATTATTACTTATGTCAGTGCAATTTAACTTTTATCCAAATATATTATTATTTGACTTCATCCATGGTAAATTTCAGTAATTTTATCAGCATATTTTGTCTTTTATCAAAAGTACACATATAGTCGAATAAAACATTATCACTGAAATTGAGTAATAATGTTAAATATTTCAAAATTAATTCCAAAAATTACTGTTTATTTCATGGAGTTTGTTCAACAGTTTCCAGATGTTGTGATATGTGCCTTTTGATTCATTTTATTGCATTCATGAATCTTGTAATTATAACCGAAAGTGTGGTAACACCAATGACAGAAAACTAAGTACGCCTTATAAAAAAAAATAAAATTTTTTAAAAAAGACAAATGTTCTAGTTGTCCATTACAGTTGTTAACATGGTCAACATGCTAATAAATACTTCCCATTAAATTACATTTGTGAAAACTGAATTAATTTTTTTTACTTTTTTGACTTGGAAAATCACCGTATTTTGATAATGACCCACATGTGCTTTTTTCCCGTCAAGTCTTTGAGTCAAGTCTTCACGATTCACTGCGACAATAAACTTGTTATCATCAGCCTAAATCCTCACTAGGCATTAGCACCATGCGTAGGCTGTGCTTGATGGTAATCTTCAGCCTATGTGCACAAGGCTTCTGCTGAGTTGCAGACCTGTGGATTAAGAAGCGGGCTTTAAAAGGGCCCTCCGCTCACCCATTACCTCCCCTCTTTTGTTCTCCTTCATTCTCTGCTGCTGGAGCTGCAAGACAAACACTAACCAGGCACAATGGCCCAGAAGGTGGTACTCATCACAGGCTGCTCCTCTGGAATTGGCCTCGCCTTGGCTGCCCGCATCGCAAAAGATGAGAAGAAAAGGTTCATGGGTAAAACTGCAACATTGTTAATTTAGTTTAGTTTTAGGATGTCTGTGTTGCACATACATCAGGCTGTTGAGAAATTTGAATGGAAGAATGGAAATTTAACAGCAGAGACTGTATGAAAATTACGATAGGGGTTAAAATAGTAAGTTTAAAACAGTACGCCACTTTAATTTCTATATGCACCTTGGTTTTTATTATTAGCTGCATTAATTCAACACTGTGGTATTATTTTTAGATATGATAGAAGAGGGTTTTACAGTGTTTTCTAAGTAAAGCTGAGGGTCCAGTTTCATTAAAGGTGGGGAAGGCTTTTCCCCAAACCAATGAGTGTCACACAGTCCCTTATTTAAACTAAAGTTTGATGAGTAATAATGGTGAATATCAAATACTGTGGCAATACAAGTGACCAGTTTGCTTTTAGAGACTAGTCATTCAAAGTTATGTGCCTACAGCTGTTTTGCAAATATAAGAATACATGCTCAGATAACCTTTCATTTGGCAAGAAACTTGTTATAATTCTATTATAAATGTATTCATCCAAATCACAAAAGGAAACCATATTTTCTCAGCAGTGCAGATTGCTTTGTTTTCGGCTGCAAAGTTTTGAGTATTTTGCCTCCGAGAGTCGTGCCAATGCACATCTCTTTCCAGGAACTGCTTTTATGGATGAAATAGTCACAATACCTGTAGATTATATTTCTATTTTTGGTACTATATTGTATCTTATTGATTATTTTATAGGCAATTTCAAATCTTTGTCTTTTGTTTTATTGAATATTTAGGTGAGATAATTTATAACCCTTTAAGGAGTTTTTCATCTCACCTGCACAATCTGTTTTTTGCCGTTGTTGATGTTTTTTACCAATTGTTTCAATACTGTGCAAATAAATAATACAAAATTATTCTGAACAACTGGAACACTGTTTTTGCAGAGGATGTTGCTGTTGAGTTCAGCTGCTCATTTTTAAATGCTGTGAACATCGTAAACAAAATCGTGTTACTGCCATTGTTTTGGTATGGCAGCAGACATTTAGAGACAAAACCCGAGAAATTAAAATCGAAGTGATATGCAAAACCCAACTGCCAGAGAAAAATGGTATTGTATGTTTATGCAAATCACGGATATGTTTCATTTGTATGTTATTATGTAGTAGATATGTTTAAATGTTACATGTTTTTTCAACATCACTGCGGGCAATGTGTGGTTAGGGTTAGGCATAAAAACCACTTGGTAAAAGGGAAAAAAAATCATGATTTGAGCTTAACATATTGCTGTCTGTGGCTCCATCTATAATGTCGTGCTAAAAATACAAACGCTTTTCGTGGCACTATCCCAGCAGGGAAAGCAGCAATGTCTTGGTTAAGAAATAACACATTTGGTGGCACTATCTTGGCTGGAAGTGCAGCAATGACTTAAAAAAAACAATTTCATGACACTATTCTGGATAGAAATGCAATAATGTCTGTAGAAAACAATTGCTTTTCTTGTCATTATCTTGGCCAATACACAATAATGAATGACTTGTTAATTAAAAAAAAAAAACCAACAACACTTTTTGATCTATCCAGTGCTACCATGGGTAAGTTAAAAAACACGTTGCTTATATTTGATGGTTGGTGCACTCGCCCTTTTTGCCTCTGTTCAAAGCCAGATTAGGTCTTTAACTTTAATTCTGCACGCAAGTTCTCAGTTAGTTTCCTTTGTTGCAGTCTATGCCACCATGAGGAACCTCAGTAAGGCTGAGCCGCTGGTTGAGGCTGCAGGTCGAACATTGGGCAGGACTTTGGAAATCAAACAGTTGGATGTATGTGACGAAGTCTCTATCAAAGCCTGTGTGGACAGCCTGCCTGAGCGCAGGGTGGACATTCTCAGTAAGTTCTTTGGTTCAATGCAGTCAGAAAAAAATGTGATATGCATATTCTTCCAAGGCATAGTACTCTACATGATTGAATAATATTTCTTCCTCTTGCAGTAAGTAATGCTGGGATGGGTCTGATTGGACCCATTGAGTGTCAGTCTATCGATGAGATGAAGACCGTCATGGACACCAACTTCTTTGGGCTTGTGCGGTTGCTGAAGGAAATCCTACCTGACATGAAGAGGAAGAAAAAAGGCCATATTGTGGTCATTAGTAGCGTCATGGGCATTCAGGGTGAGGACAGTTACATCTGTTTAACATGAAAACATCTCTTCATGGTGACAGAAGA